AAGACTATCTTGCTAAACAAAGAGTTCTTAAAATTTTAAATCAACTACAGCAAACTATGAGATCTATGAGATGAGACTAAATAGAGATCCCGTAACAGAAGAGAAAAAGAAAAAAAGGCTACAGATTTTCGGATACATTTTGTACATTAATAAAGCATGACCAGTCAATATTCACACTCACATCTCACAACTCGGACATCATTCCTTCTTAAAACATTCACTTTGAGAGGCAGACATTTCATACTCCATTAAAACATATGTTTAATATACATCTACGTTCATCCCATGTGAAGTACGAAGTGTCAATCTCTGTATTCAAACATCAGAGAGCTAAACAGTTTCTTCCTCTGTTTTAGAGGTAACACTTTCCTTTATCAATTTCTTCAACCGTGATTTTCAAAATTAATTTCGATTGTTATTATTAACAATTTTGTTCAAAAAGCGACATCTAAAAAAAGTGGGGTGTGTGGGGGGTACGAGTGGCCCAGTCGTCTAAGGGCTTTCCTCTCACATTAAGCTGACACGCCATGATATAACTGGAATACTGTTAAAAGCGGCGTTAAACCCAACTCACTCACTCACTCACTCACTCACTCACTCACTCACTTAAAAAAGTGACACAAATAGGGCGCCAAAACGCAGCGTAACAAACAAGTCCCGAATGCTTTCCATGAAAATCAAAATTCACTTGCGTTTCCTTGTGCCATTTCTGATGAACGGTACCCCAATACTCAGAGCCAACATCCTTGTATCGATGCTTGCGCCACGCCAAGACTTACGAAGAATCAGGGGAAGAAACCTGGCTTTAACACGACTGCATGTTTGCCAGATTGCACGAGCTGTTGCCAATGTTGTTAATGTCCACGTGAGAACCATCTACAGGATACAGCAACGATACCAGGTCACAAACAGCATGGATGCGCCTACAGACTACGTCACAAACGAGATACCTCCAAAACGTTCATGAAGTGATGATTCTTTGAGATTCAGTATAGTTTAACATTGTAAACAGATTGTTCGTTCAGTATTTATGTATATCCGAAGTGAAATACTTGCTAGTTTTCACCCCTCCCACCGACCTCACCCCTGATATGTGACAAACTAACAGTATAGCAGGTGCAGGTGACAGTTGATTGACAGGTGATTGACAGCTATTTACTTACTCTGAAGTGTGAGGCGAGGGAGGGAAGGCTCCGGACATGCTGAAATATGGCCCGTTTGATGTCTATTTCACAACGCAAAATGTCCTGTTCAATCAAAGCTGAGCGTATCACTTTCAGTGGGAGCTATTTCAATCGACCCTGCTGGTTGAAATGACCCCAGTAGTTGAAATGTCTACCACTCAAGCACGCTAACCCAACTTAAGAAAGCCCACTTTTACTTCTACACTAGCGCCCGTCCTCCTGTTAGAAACTAACAGATTAATCGTGCAGTGTTGCTAAGCTATGCGTCGGTAGAGATTAGGCCATGAGTTTTTCTCTCCCCGCCGGACGCCATTAACACTTATACTCTTCCGGTAATAACTTAAATCCAATCCTCCGTTCTTTCACATGGCGTTGATTGAATTGCGTAAGTTTTAGATACATGTTGATAAAGTACGGTGACCCATAAGGGACATGGAGTCTGTTTTTCAATATTTTGATGTTTAACTTACTTTTATCTTAACTTTTTGCAAATTAACACAATCTCCCATACAAATATGTGATAAATCATGTATAAAAACATCCGAAAACATAGAAAATGTACTTTTAAGTAGCTTTTGAGTCGCTGAAATGTGAAGTGAAAATGTCAAAAACTAAAATGAAAATGTCAAAAACACAAAACGAAAATGTCAAAAACTAAAATGAATACACAGAAAACTATTTCCACCGCGGTGATAATATTTACACCGAGGTGAAAACTATTTCCACCGCGGTGGAAATAGTTTTCTGTATTTTCATTTTAGTTTTTGACATTTTCGTTTTGTGTTCTTGACATTTTCATTTTAGGTTTTGACATTTTCGTTTCGTTTTTCAGCGATTCAATATCTTCTTTACACATGATTTATCACAAATTTGTAAGACAAATCGTGTTAATTTGCAAAAGGTTACGATAAATGTAAGTGAAATATCAAAATATGGAAAAACAGACTCCATGTCCCTTATGGGCCACCGTAATAAAGAGAGCTGGTGTCAGAGCCAGACAATGATTGAAAACAGTTGTTTGAAAGGAAGGAACAAAGGCTTCACGTCACCGTGCCCAAGGTGACATTTCACTTTGAGGAACTTTTATCTGGACATGAGAATATTGTTCTATGTAACACTAGTTAATGACGAATGACATGCCTTGTCATGTACATTATTATAACTCGTATATGCTCAATTTTCGTCTGTAAACGTTTTATTTTAATTACCACTAATCTCCTTTGCACAGGCTTGTAATCTCATTGGGGATGGAGGTTGGCCCAATCGTTTAAGACGCCGTAATTCGCTGTGCAGAGTTGTGTCCTTTGGGCACACCAGATCGTGGGTTCGAATCCCGGTTCGCCCCGAGCTGACACGCAGTGGTGTAACTGGAATAATTGGGTTTTTCAATCGTGGGTGTCTTTATCCAGTTTTCGCATTATCTTCAGGATGTTAGTTTAGTTTGTTTGCTGTTAAACGCCACACCTCAACAATATTCCAGCTATATGACAGCGGTCTGTATATAATCGAGTCTGGACCAGACAATCCAGTTACTGACATCAGGAGCATCGATCAACGCATCATGCATCAAACAAATAAACGTGCCTGACGACCCGATCCCTATAGTCGCCTCTTACGAAGAATAGGTTGCTGAAGACCTATTCTCTATCCGAATCTTCACGGATCATCTCCAGATGATCTGTTTTGCTATTTGCTGTTTTCAACTCCCAGAATGTATTTCTCTAGCTGTTTACATTACCCCCTTGTGGTGTTTGACAATTTTTGGTATTAATTTAAGAATGTATTTAATGTTTTCATTATCTCTGAAATAAAGGAGGGCACGGGTGGCCAAGTCGTCTAAGGCGCCTCAATTCGCTGTGCAGAGTGGCGTCCCTTGGGCACGCCAGGAGCCTATGATTGTGGGTTCAAATCCCGATTATGTTTTTAGGTTTGTCAGCACCGAAGTGGTAAACGTCTGAGACCTGCATCACTTCGGGCTTTCCTCCCACATTAAGCTGACGCGCCGCGTTATACCTGGAATAGTGTTAAAAGTGGCGTTAAACCAAACTCACTCACTCACTCACTCACTCACTCACTCACTCACTGAGTTATCCCCGTTTCCTTCCAATGTTAGAAAACGTTTCAGCAATGTTTACTCTATCCCCAGGATGTGTTTATCCAACGTTTATGTTATCCCCCGATGTGTTTATCCAATTTCTATTTTATCCAAAGTATGCGTTTATCCAATTTTTATCTTATCCCCTGGATATGTTTATCTTCATGTTATCCAATGTTTATGTTATGCCGAGGATGTGTTTATCCAATGTTTATTTTATCCCCGGGATGTGTTAATCCAATATTCATGTTATGTCAGGATGTGTTAATCCAATGTTTATGTTATCTCCAGGATGTGTATATCTAATGTTTTGGGGTTTTTTATCCCTAGGTTGTGTTTATCCAATCTTCATGTTATCCAATGTTTATGCCATCCTCAGGATGTGTTGACCCAATGTTTATGTTATGCCGAGGATCTGTTTATCCAATGTTTATGTTATCTCCAGGATGTGTTTATCTAATGTTTTGGGGTTTTTTATCCCTAGGTTGTGTTTATCCAATCTTCATGTTATCCAATGTTTATGCCATCCTCAGGATGTGTTGACCCAATGTTTATCTTATCCCTAGGACGCGTTTATCCAATGGTTATCTTATCCCTAGGACGCGTGTATCCAATGTTTATTGTATCCCTAGGATGTGTTTATCCAATCTTTATGTGATCCATAGGGTGTGTTTATCCAATTTGTATGTTATTCCCAGGATCTGTTTATTCAACGTTTATTTTATCCCTAGGATGTGTTTATGCAATGTTTACGTTATCCCTAGGATGTGTTTATCCAATCTTTATGTGATCCACCATCTAATGGTGATATTATTTCAACACATGTCCTGCGTAAGATGTTTCTAAAGAGAAAATTGTGCATCCATAGGCTCATGTCACCTCTCCTTTTGAGTAACTATTTTATTCCGCGATATAGCTGGTTGTTGTATGGCTGTCAGTGTAAACATGAAGTCACACGTACTAAATGAAATTATGTTTAGATCTTGGCCTACATCCTTTGAGGTAAAAAAATGTGATAATTTTTTTAAAAGAATTGACTTTCACTTTGTGTGAGTTCATTGGAGTAGGAACCTTTATGGAGTGAGGGCATTTGTGTTATCCATAGGATGTGTTTATTCAATGTTTGCGTTACCTATAGGATGTGTTTATTCAATGTTTGCGTTACCTATAGGATCTGTTTAGCCATGATTGTTTCCAGCACATATTTGTTGACAGCAGTTTTCCTGACATAAGATAGGAAGTATCTGTATGGAATTATTCCTGGACTATACCCCTTTTAATGTATTGTCTGTAACTTACCGCGAAGGTAAACATGTATCAAGGTAATTATCAACAGAATTAAACCAGCATCAGCTGCACCTGCGCCTCATTGGTCGGGTATGTCTCACCGTCAAGAAATGATTACTTCATTAAAACACCTCACTTCCCGATCAGGTGTCATACAACAGAGAACATGTTCATACAGCTCTCGTTAGCGCCATGCATTTGGATAAGCCACCTACGGACAACGTTAATAACATCGTAGCTGAATCAAATGAGGACCACCTCACCCATTGCTGCTAGAGTCATGTTTCATTATCACTTGGCTAACGCGCTAAGGCAGATGTAAGGCATTTCAAGTTGTTAGAGCTGTGTGTGTCTATGTAACGTGATGAGGTTTTAACTCCAACATACATGCAAGTTGGATCAGCGTTGACAACCTCCTTCTGTTTCAGATCGACTAATTTGGTCACAGAAATGGCTGCCACCAACTTCACTACGAAAGACATTGTATATGCTGTTTGTGCCGTCTCAACGGACCTTTTGAACGTAGTTGGCCATAGCACGATACTGATCCTCATTTACATGGAGAACAGAGCGAGAACAGCCACCAGTAAACTACTTATCAACCAAACACTCGCCGACGGAACTGTAGGCGTCGTGTATCTATTTGCGACCATTTGCTTGGCGATATATGATCCAGACGAGAAGGACGTCAAGTTCAAACTGACCATTGTCCGAGTGTGTCTGGTAGCATTGTACAGCGAGTCCCTGCAAACCCTGGGAATGATTGCCTTCTCTCTTTACATTGCGATATGTCACCCCCTAACATACCGGTTCTGCAAGAAGTCGACGATGGTGGCGGTGTTCGTCATCACCACCTGGACCTTGAACATCGTCGTGGCCTTGCTCATCCTCGTGGCCGACGGCGCCTTCACGAACTCCGACTATACGATGTTTAGTTTCTACAGACTAAACGGCAAAAGCGTATGGTATGAAATACTGAAGTTACTCGTCATGTTTCTGCCGCCACTTTTTGGAGTAACCTGTTGCATACGCGTCTGGATCCACAAACGGAACGTTGACCAAGACGTCCTACAAGCCCAGAGCAGCACCAAGAAACTTGTTAGTCAGGCATTTGGAATCTTGCTAATGTCCAGTGCTTATGTCATTGCTTTCATGATACAAATAATCGGCGAGAACTTGTATCCCCATAACAAAGACTCTAACAATGCGTCCCCTATCGTCTCGTTCATCGTATATATCTACCTGGTGGGGAAGCTGCCGATTTTTCTCCTCGTCTTCAAACCCTACCGCCAGGTGGCACGGGACTGCTGCTGTCCATGTCGCAACAATCGAATCCAACCACTGTCCGCCGAAATAGGGGCACTCCAAGTACAAGGTGCTGAACCGTAAGTAGGAAGCCCGTTCGGCTGTTTATATACCGTGAGTGTTTCAAGAATATGTCGACATGGGTACAATGTGTGAAGCTCATTTCTGGTGCCCCACGCCGTGATATTGCTGGAATATTTCTAAAAGCGGCGTAAAACCATACTCACCCACTCACTAACTCAAGAATATGTACGTTGTATGCGCAGGTTAAAACAGCGTAGTGTCAATACAATATCATGGAGACTATATGGAGTCTCAAATCCGCCCAATTTTATAGTTAGAAAATGTATAGAAAGTCTAAGTATAGTTTTGTCGTAAATATTTTTGAGTAAATAAATCGGTTAGTAATAAGATGGTACTGGGAGAATGTGGAAGGAAAACATTGTTTGTTGTGTTTATGGTAAGATGCATCAACTTTTAGTTGAAAGTATTATCAATGCCTCTGGAGACATACCCAAAGAGTGTTATTTAATGCTAAAACCTATGCCGGAAAATGGTAAAAGTACTTGGGCTTTAAGATTAAGAATATGCCAAATTTGTATGGATTTGGGTATGCTTGGTTATCACAAGAGATAGGTAACAAAATTGGTCATCTGAGTTAAACAAGATGTCTACAGTAACTAGTAAAAGATTTTAGTCTTTTAGATGATGAAAGTTACCTGTTATGTGATATCCGAAGTGAATTTAACATGTGTTTTGCAAAATTTAGATGTTGCAATTTTTAATAAATGACAGAAATTGGTAGATTTAAAGGCATTACATTCCACAGGAGATATTGTTCTTATTGTTTGCAGGAAAATTTATGCTTGACAGAAAATGAGCTTTGCAATCTGCCCATTGTATACTGACCTAAGACGAAAGGAAGGTGAATATGTAATCTCTCACCTTGCCAGTTGTTATGCCTAAAGTACCATGGGCTACTGGCCTCCGAATTCCCAAATAATGTGCCTCGCGTAATATAATCTTAAACCAGATAGTTTGTTGTGAGGCGATGACACATATTAAGTATATAGGTATAAGGGAGCAGTTCAAAAGTTCGAGGTCGTTTAAAAAATCCAACTAAATACCCCCAACCAGAGGTGTTTGGATGGTTTTATAGTTGAAAATTTGTAACTACAGATGCCGGGATTTTTAAATAGTCAGGAAACTTGCACCTACAGGTCGCGGGATTTTTAAATGGTAAGAAACTCTTGTACCTGCAGGTGCCAGGATAGTTAAATAGTTAGAAAACTTTACCTACAGGTGCCGGGATGGTTAAATTGTTAGAAAACTTGTACCTACAGGTGCCGGGATGGTTAAAAAGTTAGAAAACGTGTACCTGCATGTGCCGGGATGGTTAAATATACTGAACCAAATTAAAAACTTCACAATCCTAAAATTTTAACATTTTGACCAGTTATCATTGTGGGCCCTTATTGTGAACTAAACAGTAATGGCCACGTATTGTCTTCAGATAACACCCGTTTTTGTGCAGGTGAATCTATCAAAATCATGTGCACAGCACTATAGTGGCAAAAGTGGTTTTTCACGTGCAACTGGTCACGTGGCCATAATACCGCACGTGTTTTCAACCATACTTGTTATCAGTCATTAACAAAAAAAGAAAAACACAAGAAAACAAAAGTCTTTACGGCCATTTATCATGCCACGCCTTTCAAATGTGCAATGTGAACGTGCCATCGGCATGTTGCAGACGGGAACGTCCGTAGCTGAAGTCGCAAGAACGATGGGTTGTAGTCGACGGACTGTTTATGATTTACAGACGCGTCTACAGCAAACGGGTACCACCGCTGATCGCCCTCGGCAAGGTCGACCACGTGTGACGTCACATGCAGAGGATCGTCAGATTGTCTTACGTTACCTCCGTAACCGAATTTTGACGGCTACATCAACCAGAAATTAAATGTTTAGGGGTAGACTGAGTGCGCAAACTGTTCGAAACCGTCTGATAACTGCTCACCTTCAAGCACGACGGCCATACTGCGGGCCGATTCTGACTCAATTACACAGACGTCAACGTCAATTGTGGGCACAGCGACACTAACGATGGACTCAGAAGAATTGGAATCAAGTCGTCTTCAGTGATGAATTCCGATTTAATCTTCGATTTGCTGATAGTAGGGCGAGGATGTGGAGGCGCCGTCATGAACGTTACGCCCAGTGTTGTGTACAGGAAGTTGACAGATTTCGAGGCGGAAGTGTCATGGTGTGGGGTACTTTCTGCACGTTCCAGGCTTCTTGTCATCCGTGGCAACCTCAACGCTGCTGCTTAGCGCGACCAGGTACTGGCACCAGAACTTCTGCCTTTTATGGCAGCACATGGACCCGGTTTGATCTTCCAACACGACAATGCCAGACCCCACACGGCAATTTTGACATGGAATTTCCTTCAGAATGCGGGAGTCAACGTCATGGACTGGCCGTCAAGGTCTCCCGACCTCAATCCCATCGAACACGTTTTGGATGCTCTTGGCAGAAGTCTGCGCCAACCACAGAATTTGCAAGATCTTGGCACCATTTTGCAGCAACAATGGCGTCGTCTTCCCAATCATGTGTTCACAAGCATCACAAGGTCCATGCGGAGGCGTTGTGTGGCAATTGTCAACGCAAATGGTGGCCATACACGCTACTGAACTTGTGTGCCATCAGATTCTCGTGCTTGGGATTTATGATTTAAACTGTTGATGTTATTACCAAATACCGTAGGTGCTTTGAACAAATTATGGTTACCACCGTTAATTAAAATCCTTCTTTGGACATTAATGATTAAAAATTACCTTCTCTGATACATTTGTCCGTTGTATATCATATATGGGATTACTTTTAAAAATGTGAAGTTTTTAATTTGACTCAGTATAGTAAGAAAACGTGTACCTGCATGTGCCGGGATGGTTAAGTAGTTAGAAAACTTGTACCTACAGGTGCCGGGATGGTTAAGTAGTTAGAAAACTTGACATAAATGTTTTTCAAACGACGGATGATACCAACGACATTGTCGACATTAGTGTGCACAATAAATGACTGCTCTTGCAGCAATTAAATCTGTTATTGAAAACCTTATCTGCCTAATGTTTGTATCTTACAGATTCTATCCATTCTCTTTTCAGAACTGTTCCCAACCTATCGAGGACAACCCTAAACAACAACCGTCATTTAAAGCCCACACGGGAACCTGATGCTAGTTCCCATACAGTCCTTGGTTAGGTAGCATGCGCCTCCTGTATTATCAGGTTGTATAGGGCAACACACGTTTCCTCTGCACGCAGTGCATACATGGTAACACACGTCTCGTCTACAAGCAGTATATATATGGTAACACAGTCTCCTCTACAAGCAGTGTATACATGGTAACACAGTCTCCTCTACAAGCAGTGTATACATGGTTACACACGTCTCCTCTACAAGCAGTGAATATATGGTAACATGCGTCTCCTCTACAAGCAGTGTAAATGGTAACATACGTCTCCTCTACAAGCAATGTATATATCGTAACACACGTCTCCTCTGGAGCAGTGTATATATGGTAACATGCGTCTCCTCTACAAGCAGTGTATATATGGTTACATACGTCTCCTCTACAAGCAGTGTATATATGGTAACATACGTCTCCTCTACAAGCAGTGTATATATGGTAACATACGTCTCCTCTACAAGCAGTGTATATATGGTAACATGCGTCTCCTCTACAAGCAGTGTATATATGGTAACATACGTCTCCTCTACAAGCAGTGTATATAAGGTTACATACGTCTCCTCTACAAGCAGTGTATATATGGTAACATACGTCTCCTCTACAAGCAGTGTATATATGGTAACATACGTCTCCTCTACAAGCAGTGTATATATGGTAACACATGTCTCCTCTACAAGCAGTGTATATATGGTAACACATGTCTCCTCTGGAGCAGTGTATATATGGTAACATGCGTCTCCTCTACAAGCAGTGTATATATCGTAACACACGTCTCCTCTGGAGCAGTGTATATATGGTAACATGCGTCTCCTTTACAAGTAGTGTATATATGGTAACACATGTCTCCTCTACAAGCAGTGTATACATGTATATGGTTACATACGTCTCCTCTACAAGCAGTGTATATATGGTAACATACGTCTCCTCTACAAGCAGTGTATATATGGTAACATACGTCTCTCTTACAAGCAGTGTATATATGGTAACATACGTCTCCTCTACAAGCAGTGTATATATGGTAACACACGTCTCCTCTACAAGCAGTGTATATATGGTAACATACGTCTCCTCTACAAGCAGTGTATATAAGGTTACATACGTCTCCTCTACAAGCAGTGTATATATGGTAACATACGTCTCCTCTACAAGCAGTGTATATATGGTAACATACGTCTCCTCTACAAGCAGTGTATACATGGTAACATACGTCTCCTCTACAAGCAGTGTATATATGGTAACATACGTCTCCTCTACAAGCAGTGTATATGGTAACATGCGTCTCCTCTACAAGCAGTGAATATATGGTAACATACGTCTCCTCTGGAGCAGTGTATATATGGTTACATACGTCTCCTCTACAAGCAGTGTATACATGGTAACACACGTCTCCTCTACAAGCAGTGTATATGGTAACATGCGTCTCCTCTACAAGCAGTGTATATATGGTAACACACGTCTCCTCTACAAGCAGGGTATGCATGGTAACACACGTCTCCTCTACAAGCAGTGTATATATGGTAACATGCGTCTCCTCTACAAGCAGTGTATATATGGTAACATACGTCTCCTCTACAAGCAGTGTATACATGGTTACATACGTCTCCTCTACAAGCAGTGTATACATGGTAACACACGTCTCCTCTTCAAGCAGTGTATGCATGGTAACACACGTCTCCTCTACAAGCAGGGTATGCATGGTAACACACGTCTCCTCTACAAGCAGTGTATATATGGTAACACTTACATACCGAGAACAAGATGTATGAATGGCATGTTGTCAAGATAGTAAACATGTGGACAGGGTCACCCATAAATTAAATCAATAGATCTTCTATTTCTGAACTAATAATTACAAGTCAAGTAAGAGGATGTTAAAGTAATTCATCTTGAACATGATAAAATGGAAATGCATACATAAACTATGTCCAGATCTTTGTTTAGCAGTAGTGAGAACTAAAAGGTCTGATTCTTAATGAGATTGTGTACTGTTTGATGACATTTAATATGTATCCAATTTGTTTGCCAGGAAACTCAACGTTTGCAACTGGAGCCAGTGCCGGGCATTCATGCCTGTCCTGATGATAGAAATGCCCGATTTAATAAAAATGAACAAGGAAACTATTAGGTTTCTTCTCGGCAAACGTGAGGGCTTACAATCAAATGACTGAGGGTTGACAACTTTTTCTGATTTTCCAGAAGAAACATGGAAACATATCATGAGCAACATATTGTCAGACACTTATTGCACACAGTGTAATACTGTTCTGAAAAGTTTTCAACATTTTATGGAGTGGTGATATTGTAAAACTGTCGTATTTGCCAGTGCTGCATTAAACAATAACAAAAAACGTTACTTGTCATGATGTCGGGGTTCAAGGGATTACCAATTCAATGAGACCCGTGAAGATCCCGGTTAGAATAGGTCTTCAGCCCATGCTTGTCGTAAGTGGCAAATAAGCTTGTCGTAAGAGGCGACTAACGGGATTGGGTGGTCAGGCTCGCTGACTTGGTTGATGCATGTCATCGTATCCCAATTTCGTGGATCGATGCTCATGATCCATGACTCATGGTGCAGATTCAATTATTTACAGACCGCCGTCATATAGCTGGAATACTGCCGAGTGCGGCGTTAAACAACAAACAAAGAAAATGATGGCCGGGCTAGAGTATTCTTGAAGGTCGTGCTTATCGTTATTCTGAAGGTAGTGACTCCTTGGTGAAAACTTAGCCCTGTGGTTAAAACTACCAAGAGAGCTTTCGACGAAACGCAGCCCTATATTCACCAGGAGATAACAGTGTGTATTCCAAAACGGGCAACAATGTGACGGGGATGACACACCGTGAGGACTGGAGAATTCCCTTCAACGTTCGTGAGAGCAAACTGTTTTCTACACATTATAACGGTTTTACACCACTTTCGCAATATTCCAGCAATATGATGAAAGGGGATGCCAGAAATGGAAATGTGGGAATCGATTACATGTAAACAGCTCATGCACTCGACATTTTACGGGCGCCTCGATCACTTGCTGTCACAGACTGTCACTGTCGATAAACCCTACATCAATATCTACTGCCTCATATACAGTATACGCAGACGATATTTTTCAGTAACACACACACACACACACACACACACACACACACACACACACACATGGCAAAATATATTTGGTGTTTCTTATTTTGAAGCTTTTTTGCTAAGATTAAACCCATATTTTGAAGGTCAAGATTATCACCTGTTTGCATTAGCTTCGTGGCGGATACTTTCTTCTTATAGTGGCATATCGTTCACATATAAACATCACAAGGAATTCATCTTCAATATATACAAAGTTTGGACAAACAGAAATCGCAAAATCGTCAAATATGGGAAGTGTAACTGTGTCTTCCAAGTTCCACATTTAGAAGGAAATGATTACATCTATACTTTGAGATATATCTCTTTATGTAATGTGGAAAGTCATTTGTTATAAAACGTCCTGTGTTCAACAAAGATTTGTACTGAACATAGTAATGACATTTCGATGATAATTCAGTCGAAGAATGACAGTTTTTATACAGGTTATCTCATAGTCTTTGCTGAAATTCATTTAGAAATAATGTTACATCGCCGATTTCTTGTTGTAACCAGACCAGCCCAAATCCTAATCTGAACAAAATGGTTATACAGTAAACTACGGTTATAACGAACTCAAAGGGACCCCTTATTTTAGTTCGTAATAACCGTAGTTCGTTATAAGCGTATATACAACGCATATACAACAAATGGGCGAGACCAAAATATACAGTTCGTTATATCCGTCAGTTCGTTATAAGCGTGTTCGTTATAGCCGTAGTTTATTGTAATTGAAGTAGCCCATGCCTCTCTGGCCACCTCTCCAAATTATTTGGACTGTTGTGTATAGAGAGGAGGTAACTGTTGAGCACACAAGGTTCAGACATTGATATTTAATTATGGATTTGGTTATACCTCAACCAATCAAGATGCTGAATGCATAACAACGTGTTATATGTGTTTTAAGATAAATTATCAGATGTTGTTTGAAAACATTCCTTTTGTTTTCTAAATTAGAAGTATAAAGAAGCATAAAATAAGCTCATAAGATGGAGGAATGTTTATCGTTAGTGAAGGTGTATGGGATTGCACTACATCGATTTCGCTATTCAAGCAGGAGGACATCGTGCGTCAAGGCAGAAACGGGAGCGGGTATTGCGGGTGGGGAATGCTTTATTCGTTATACGTTATTTTAATTTGCCGTGATCGATATTTCAAGTTACGAATTAGCTGTTATTTCACAACAGTCCTGTTATCGTGAGTTTGCAAATAAATTACACTTTTTCTGTGAAATGTCTTTTTGTCTTTCTTGTGAATTGTTAGTATTCGTTATCGTTTTTTATGTCGAAACCGGGAATACCATGTTGTAAATTTGGGAAGCAGTTGCCCAAAAATATCAAGAAACGCCTGAGATGGTCCGTCCGACAAGTTGTCACCAAGTTTATATGTAACAATAATATGAAATGCTGCCCAAGCTTGATACTGATAGTCACTATCAGATTGATAAGTAAGAATGAATGTCTATGAAATATGAACTAATTTACACGATAATTATTCGTGATTGTGAAATGGGTGGAAAATATTACCCATGATCGGTGAAAAGGTGGTCTGAATTATCTGTGAACAGTTATTGGGAATGGCATCCCCTTCCCTCTATACTGGTTAAAGTCCTATCCCACAGAAGCGGGCATGAAGTCTCGCGTAATCTGCCGAAATTGAAGAACTATATATACCCAGAGAATATTCGGGTGGTCAGACTCGCTGACTTGGTGGATGCATGTCATCGTATCCGAATGGCGTGGATCGATGCTCATAATGTCAATCACTGGATTGTCTGGTCTATACTCGATTATTTACCGACCGCCGTCATATAGCTGGAACATTACTGACAAACAAACAAGCGTTGAGTATCAAAGCAATTCTCATTAATTGTTGTCGATTATGATATCAGTG